TTTTGTCGTATTTATCACTAAACCTATCATAATATCTATCTCTGTCTCTACTTTTGTTTCTATCTCTGTCTCTATTTCTATCTCTTTCTCTATCTCTTTCTCTTTCTCTTTCTCTATCTCTGCTTTCTCTATCTCTTGTCCTGCTTCTATCCCTGCTTTCTCTACCTTCACTGTAACGATAGTTATATTTATCATTTGATGGTTGGCGGCTTTTACTTTCTCTATTCAAATTGTTTTCTAAATTGTTTTCTAAATCTTCTAATTTCTTTAAATATTCCTGTAGTTTATCAATCTCGCTTGTTGAGGTTGGTGAATAAGGCTGATATTGTGGATAATAACTGAGTTGGTCATGTTGAGAGGGATTGGAGTAGTAGTAATCTGGGTCATTAAATTGGTAGCAGCTATCAAACATTTGATCTTGAAACTCACTATTACCACTTGTAAATAAATCCATTTCATTTATTTGATAAGAAAGCCAATCTGGAAGAGTAAATTTTCTTTTAAAACTATTATACATTTCAAAATCTTCTGAACTAATTTCTCTTCTTATAACATCGTTTCCATTCGATGTTATTCTATCTATGCTATTACTTATACTATTACTATTTATCTCTCTGCTGTCAGAGGCCTTTATTTTTTTTATACTTTTGCTATTATCATCTATTTCATTATCATTATTATGGATGTTATTATTATTTTTAATATTATTGTTTTTTGATTTTATATTATCTTGCTTATCTGAATCTTTGTAACAAAATTTATATAATTCTATAAATTCATCTAATGGATGTTGAATATCATTTTCAAACTTCTTTCTTTTTTGTTCTTTCCTTTTTTCATCCATCTTCTTTAATAATCTTGCAATATCTTTTTCGGAATAGTTTGGACAAACTGATCTTGATTCTTCTGCAACACCAGAGAGTATTGAATGGGCCCTTCTAAGGAACTTTTCATCAAATACACCTCTATCAGACCATGAGTTTAGTATATTCTCTATTGTTTCTTTGGTTCTTTTCTTCACCTCCAGGTTATCGTCTGGTAAAATTAGGGGTAAGATTTCTCCAACATTATTATCTAAAAATCTTTTGTAGCTATAGTTTTCTTTTTTACAACAATCTTTACATATACTATCTATTAAATTAAAAAATAATAACCTTTTTTGAAAAGCACACTATAGTAAAAAATAAAAAATTTTGTTAATATATTATTTTTTTTATTTTTTATAAAAAATTTAAATAAACCATAAATTAAAATATTAAACTTTGAAATGAATTAGGTTAGAGGATGTTTATGGTAAAACTAGAATGAATGTAAAAAAAAAAAAAGAAAGAAAGTTGGTTCATGGACTGGGGTTATATAAATTTTATAAAGTATAATATTACTAACATAAAAGATAATACATAAAAATATTTGGACATCCATTTTATTGCGGTTACTTTTTAAAAAATTTTTATAAACCCCTCCTTAAAAAAAATCCAATTTATTTTTTTTTTTTATTCTTTTTCATTTCCCCCCCCTCCATCCCCCCAATCCAAATTTCAAAATAAATTCAAATTTTTTTTTAACATAATAGAAAATTATGATAAAATTAAATAATAGATAACCAAATACTAAGTATAAAAAGATATTATTATTTTATTTTTATTTATTTAATATAATATTTTATTTAATTTTAATTTTAATATAAAAAAATGTTATTTCTTTTCTTTTCTTTTTTTTTTTTTCTTTTTTTTTTTTTTTGATATGTAAATGTGAGGAAATATAAAGAAAATGAATTAAAAAGAGTTGGTTTTCTTTTATTTCTATATTTCTTTTGCTTGGTATAAAACTATTTACCCCCACCATTAATCTACCTCTACAAAAAAAAAAAACATATGAAAAAATATAATATGTGAAATGAATAAACTATTATTACTATTGCTCTCAATGATTGATTTTTATGTGACAGTGATTATGATATTTATCATTGTTATTATTATGATGATTGTTATTATTAATATTATTATGATTATGATTATGATTATCGCATGATTATGATTATATTTTTATTATAACTTTTATTATAGTTTGTTTTTATATACCATACCTTTCGCATCCTATTTAATAAAACTTCAAATAAATCATCTATGGACTTTATATTATCGATAACATATTGAGTGGCTCTTTCAACAGAATCATTTGATAAATTCTCTAATTGCTCCTTAAAACGTTCAGTTGGAAAATTTTCAAAAGAGGTAATTGAGCTATCGTATTGTTCTAAGGGCACTGCCATTTGATATTTGGATTTTATTTGGTTAGTTGCAAGTGATTGCCTTATTTGTGCCATTATAATTGATTCGGTTACCTTTTTTTTTTAAAAAAAAAAAAAAAAAAAAAAAAGAAAAGAGGATATACTACAATAAAATAAATGATATATAAATATATATAAGTAAATAAAGATCTATTTTTAAAATAATTTTTTTTTTTTTTTATATATTTTAAACAAAGAAAAAAATAAATAAAAAATTAAAAAAAAATTAAAAAAAAAAAAAAAAAAATTTTTAAATAAAAGGGAAAAAAAAAAAAAAAAAAAAAATTAAAAATTTAAAAAAAGGGAAAAATTTTTTTCCCCCTTAATTTTCCGGATTTTCCCCCTTTTTATTTATTTTTTTCCCTTTTTTTTTTTTTTTTTTTTTTGGGGAATATTTTAATCAAAATTTTTTAAAAAAAAAAAAAAAAAAAAAATTTTTATTTTTTTTTTTTTAAACGGGGAAAAAAACCACCTGGGGGAATTAGGCCCCCAAAAAATTAAAAATTTTTTTTTTTTTTTTTTTTTTTAAAAAAAAATTTTTTTAAAATTTTTTTTGATTTTTTTTTTAATTTTTTTAAAATAAAAAAAATATTTCAACATAAAAAACTTCATATTATAACGCATTATTAGCAATAAAAGAAAGAAAAAAAAAAAAGCAATAAATTAATTAATATAAAGAAATTAAATAGTTTTTTTATTATATAATAAAACATAAAATTTTTATATATAAAAAAATTATAATAACAATATACTCATATACAAATAAACGTAGATGAATAAAAATTTTAATAATATACATAATAATAATAATATAAACAGCAATATTAACCAACCTATACACATGACGATGGCCCCAAATAACAGTGATAATAATAGTAGTAGTAGTAATAGTAGTAGTAATAGTAATAGTAATAGTAGTGGTAGTAGTAATAATATCGATAATAGTCAGCAGTTTCAATGCCCATATTGCCCAACTATTTATTTTTCTCAAAATTTAATTAGTCAAGATACAAATTTAAATAAATGCGAGCATTTATTATTGGACTATCAAACAGTGTCCCATTTAAATGCCACTTACAGAACTGTCTCGGATTTAACTGGAAATTGTTTGTATTTTTTGTTTTTAATATATTTTAATTTATTTATTACTAATAGTTTCATTATATAGTATTAGGTAATAAAATTCCATTAGTAATTGCAAAAAGATTTATTAAATTTATTAGGGATACTAAATCTGGTGGTGTACCAAATGGATTTTATACAATTCACAAAACCAAAGCAAGAGTATCACATACTTTTCAAGGTGTTACATCATTTTCATTAAGATATGTTATCGATTTTGATAATAACAACAGTAATAATAATAACAGCAGCAATAATATTGGTAAAACCACAACAATTGAATCTACTTATTATCTTACTCAAAACCCAATCCAAGATTCAACTCTTTTCGAATCATTTGTTTTAAAAAATTATATTGATTCAATTCCATCTTTATCAACCAAAATTAATTCAACAGATTGTTTAAATAATGAACAACAACAACAACAGCAACACATTTCATATATAGGTTTTACAAGAGAGCAAATTAAAACATTTTTAGAATTTGACGATCAAGACGAAAACTATTCATATGACTATGCAAATTTAGATAATAATGGTGAGGAGGGTACCAGTTTTGAAAGTTTATTAAAGAATAGATGGATTTTAATTACAGGTTTACCATCAAATCAGTTACCCATCTTTGTAAATATAACTTTACAAATGCTTATTCAACAAGAGCAACAAAAACAAATATCAAATGGTTTAATACCAATAGCCTTAAATGTAAATAATAATAATATTGAAAATAATGTTAATATTCACGTTGTACACCCACTTCCAAATATTGCAATTCAATCTTAAATCAACCTCAATTCCGATAAGAAAGAAATTATAATTAATTCCTTTAAAATTTAAATAAAATAAAATAAATTTAAATAAAATAAATTAAATTAAATAAAATATCCTTAATCTTTTTTTTTTTTTTTTTTAAAATATCTCTCACATTTTTTAAAAGAAATAGAGAGAATTTATTCTGTTTTAGATGGTATTTTAAAAGATAGAAATATATAGAACTCTATTTTCTATTTAGGTTTAAACAAGTGACACAATTGTTCTAATTATTGAAAATAATAATAAAAAATTTATTTATTTTTTTTTTTGTTTTTTTTTTTTGTTTTTTTTTTTTATAAATAGCTATTTTTTTTTTTTTTATTCATTAATTATTAATATTATTTATCATTCTTATAGTCAATAATAATAAAATGAATTTTAAACAAACAATTTATTTATTAGTTTCAATTATTCTCTTACTTTCTATAAAAGCATATTCACATGAATTAGATTGCGATCAATGTGATAGTGTTCAATCCTCCAGCGATTCAAAATCCATAGGCCCAATTTCAGATAGTGGCTCTCAATCTGCTCACAGTAGTGCAAGTGGTTCCCAATTTATTCATAGTAGTGCAAGTGATAGTGGCCCTCAAACTATTCGTAGTGCAAGTGATAGTGGCTCACAATCTATTCATAGTGCAAGTGGTTCCCAATCTGCCCAAAGCAGTGCTAGTGTTAGCGGCTCCCAATCTGTTAACAAATGTGGCTCCCAAAGTGGTTCCAGTAACTCCCAATGTCCATAATAGTGATTCACAATAGTTTTCATAATATATAGTTCTAAATATTCTTCAAAAGATTAAATAAATTAATTTAAATATTTTTATTTTTAATGATCATCTTTTAATTATATCATCTTTAAAATTTTTTTTTCTTTAATTTTTTTTGGGATTATTTTTTTTTTTTTTAAAGTTTAATCCTTATATCAAATAACTAACAATATTTAAAAAAAATAAATCGGAAAAACTAAAAATAGTTTTTACAAAATTTTAAAATTAAAAAATTACAATTATGTTTTATTTTTTTATCTATTTTTAAGAAATGTAACATCGATTTGAATTTTTTTTTTCTTTTTAAAGCTAATAATCTAAAATGTGGCTATACAAATATTTAAAAAATATATAATTATATATTTATATATTTTTTTTTTTTTTTAAATTATTTGATTAAAAAAAAAAATGATAAATTATTTTTGTTTGGTTGAAAAATTTGACGCAGAGGTTGGTTTTATATTTCTTTGTTTGTTCTTTCTATTATTAATTACAATATTTGATTGAAATGGTGGGGATAAAGTTCTAGATGTTGCACGAGTTGAATGATATTTATTTGAAGTGTGCCATATATTTGGAGTTTTGCTGTCTCTTTGAAAACGGGCTGGGAAGTCGATCATGCCTCTCTCGATGGTTTCTTTTAATACCCTATCATCAATTGGAGGAAGTTCTTTATTTCTTTTGATCTTTTTAATTTGTAAAAGTTCGTCAAATGTACAATGAAAGGTTGTTTGATATTCTTTGGTGTAGGTGATGATATTAGCTAGTGAACATGAGCCGCCATTTTCAAGTATAGCTTGTGAAACAATATCCAATATATGAGATTGCTCCAATTGAGAATTTTCTTCGGACGACGAAGTTTCATCATCTTCATTTTCATCATCTTCATCATCCTCTTTTTTAAACTTTTCGTCATCAGCATTATTGGAGGCAGTATCGACAGTATCGGTTGAGTGTGAGTCATTTTCGTCTACATTGGTATGGGTTCCCGCATTATTACTATTCTTTTCTTCTTCAATGTTGCTGCTACTACTGGATTTTGTGTCTTCATCTAATTTGAATGGTTTTTTTTTCTTTCTACTACTTAAAGGTGATATGGTTGCTGTAACATGTGGAGGTGATGATGACGATGACGAAGCATTGCTCCCTGATGTAGTAACAGTAGTGGTTGGAGTTGATAAAGTTGGAGCTAATGAGCCATTATTTTCTAAAATATTACTATTTTCTGTCTCTATGTTTTCATATGTTTTTTTTTGTTTTTTATTTACATCATCTTCTTGGCTAGCACTATCATTTGGGCTACCATTGGAACTATTATTATCAGCTGAATCAACATCTTGATTATCATTTGATGGCGAAGTTGAACCACCAAGAATTTGATTACCATTATCGTCGATCTTTCTTTTTCTGTTAAAAAATCTTCTTGTTCTAAAACTTATTGGTGTACCATTATTTATTGTTGCAGAACCATTATTTGAATTATTATTGTTATTATTGTTATTGTTATTATTATTATTATTATTACTATTATTTAAATCATTTGTATTATCTTGAGTTTCTTCAGACTTTGTTTCAATTTTTACAACACCAATATTTCTTTTTGATTTTATTGAGGAATCTGTACCACCTTCAATATCTTCAGATTCTTCCATTTTTAAATCATCTTTTTCTTGTTTAACATTTGGGGATCCCTCTTCTTTGCTTGAATCAGTATCATCATCTGAATTTTTATGTTCAGTTTCATCAGATGAATCTTCGATTTCTATTGTTTTACCTCTTGGTCCAATCATCCACCATCCATCTCTATTTGGGTCCCTTTGAAATAATGGATTATTTGACGAAGTGTTCGATAGAGATGCTGAAATAACTCTTTTATGATCATAAGTATACTTGGTACCATCCCTTTTTCTTAGTTTCGACCATTTCTAATTTTTAATTAAAAATATTAGAATTGTTTGAGAATAAAAATTTTAGGTATAGACTTTAAATTTTATAATACTTACATCTGATAGATAGTTTTGAATTGTTGATAAATGAGCACAACCATCATTTAACTTTAATGCTTTAAGAATTAATTCTAAAGTAAAAAAAAACCATTAGTAAATTTGAAATTTTAAAGTTTGTATACAAAACATGTTTACATACTTTGAACCGAGCTTAAAGACTGCTCTTCTTTTTCCTTTTCGGTGTCTTCTGATTTCTGTAAAATGGGGCAATAAAAAACAAGTATAAAAAAAAATTATAATTGTTATATGATTAATAAACCAATTTTCTAAATATATGTTTGGTATTTGAATAAAAATAGAATTTCTTACATCATAACCATCGTCAGAATGATATTTTCTTTTTTCATCTTCGGTATTATAATCTTCTCCATGACTTTTATCTTCATAATCATCATCTTCAGTCTGTTCGTTATTTGAGTCACTATCTTTGTGATGTCTTCTAATATTCAGTTTGGTAATTGTTTGATTATAAATGTCTTGACCACCTGATGACTTTGTTTTCTTTTTCTTTTGTTCCTGTTGCTTTCTAAGAATCTCTTGAAAATAATTTACAGCCTCTGAAGAATTATCATTATTATTACTACTATTAATATTGCTATTGTTATTACTTGTATTTTTGAAATCATCGAAACCAATAACTAACGGAACCACACTCTTTGTCGTATTACAGCCACTACTGTTATTATTGCTATTATTGCTATTGTTGCCACTATTTGCAGATGTTCCTCCACTACCTATACAAACTGAGGAAGTGCCTGTATTTTCGTTTATACTTCTAAATGGTTTACTTTTTTCTCTCATTTTCTATTAAACTACTAACTAGACTCTTTTATTATTGCTTTACTTTGATATTGTTATTTGTTTATATTATTATATTATTCCTATCTAAATTAAATATAGCAAATAGTAATTGATGATATTTTTAGATTTATGTTAATTATTTTTTAATATATAATATTTTTATTAAATGAGTTTATTGTTGTTGTTTAAATTTAAATTGAGAGTTTTTTTTTTAAATTTTGTGGTGATAAATCTCGTTTGCAGTATTTTATATGTAAAAAAAATTTATTATTATTATTATTATTATTTTAAATTTGAAAGTGGGGGTGTGTTAAATAATATAAAAAATAAAAAAAAAAAAAATAAAAAAAATTTTAAAAAAATTTAAAAAATATATTAACTGTACAAACTAAAAAAAAAAACTATATATATAAAATTTAAAAAAATTTGGTATAAAGAAAAGAAAGAAAAACAAATGAAATCTATTTACAAAATAAAATGAGATAAATAAAAACTAGAATGGTTTTTTATTCTAAACTATAGAAACTGAAAAATATAATTATTAGATTTTAGTTAAAACATATGATTATTTATGTATGGGGATTTGACGTTTGGGAAAATATACAAATTTAAAGAGTTGGCCCTTTTAAACGATAAGAAGGGCTATTGAGCTTTTGAGTGTTTGATTAGAGGTGAGAATGAAAGAAAAAAAAAAAACCAAAAAAAAAAAAAAAAGATATACCAAAATTTAAACACAACACGACAAATCGAGATTTTAAAGGAATAAGATTGAGTTAACTGGAATCCTTTTGTCGCAATGATTGGTTCTATTTAGTGATATACTGATTGTTAGTATGTCGGCGGAGGGTGAATGAGGTTGAAAGGTGTATTGCAATATTGCTTATTACCGTTTTTTTTTGTTTTTTTTTTTTTTTTTTTTTTTTTTTTTTTTAAAAATAACTAAATTGATTTGATTGAAAATATCTATTTACGTGAATCCTCAAGTGTTTGAATTTTGAATTAAAGATGAATGAAAGAAGAGGATTTATTGTTTAATACAAATGAAAAAAAAAAAAAAAGAATAACATAAATCAAATGAAAAAAAATTAAAATAAATAAAAAATAATTAAAAAAAAATTAAAAAAAAAAAAAAAAAATTAAAAAAAAATTAAAAAAAAATTTAAAAAATAAATAAATTAAAATTATTTATTTTTTAATTTTTTTTTATTCCTTTTAAAAAAATAATTTGAGAGTTTTAATATTCCATATTTATAAATTTTATAAATAAAAAAAATAATAAAAAAATATTCTCTATTTGTTTTTTATTCTTATTTGTTTTGCTTATTTTGTTTTATTATTTGTTTTTTTTTTCTTTTTTTTTATTTTTTTTATTTTTCTTTTTTTTTCTTTTTTCTTTTTTTTTTTTGGAAATTTTTTTTTTAAAAAGATTTTATTATAAAATTGGGTCGTTTTGAAATTTATGAAAATAAACAGATTGGAATTTTCTATCCAAAACATTTTATTTAATACAGAAATTAATCAAATTAATCTATGGATGATTGGAAGGTATTTTTTTCTATAAATAATTTATATGTTTTTATTTTTTTTTTTTTTTATTTTTTTTTTTTAATTTAATTTTTTAAATTTTTATTGTATATTTGTTGCTGAAATCTATTCCAAAAATAAAATAAAAACAGTATAACCCTAATTAGAATTAACCATTTATATTTGAATAATTGAAAGAAAATCGATTTTAAAAAATGAGTTGTGTTTATTATCGCCTGTTTGTTGGGGTTGAATGATATGTGGTTCTAGTATACAGATTGTAAAGGTTTAAATAAAAAAATGTTTGAAAATGTTTAATATTTGAAATGTTGATTTTTATCGATATATAAATAAAACTTGATTTGGATTATATAAATTGTTTTTTTTTTTTGATTCTTTTTTTTGAGTTTTTGGTTGTTATTATTTTTACCTATATATCTATATTATAAAAAAAATTGCTTAATTATCTTGGTGGGAGTGGTGGTCCAGCGCCGGGTCTTTGAGGCTTTGGTGGTGGAGCAGCCCCATTTGGAGGTTGGGTCATTGGACGTGGTGGCATATTTGGTTGGCCAGGTGGTGGTGGTACACCAGGTCTTTGTGGTTTTGGTGGTGGGCCACCTACACCTCCTCCTACAGTAGGAGCACCTCCATTCATTTGTGAGACAGGACGTGGTGGCATATTTGGTTGGCCAGGTGGTGGTGGACGTGGTTGACCTGGTGGTGGAGGTCTATTCATTGGTGGTTGACCTGGTGGTGGAGGTCTGTTCATTGGTGGTTGACCTGGTGGTGGAGGTCTATTCATTGGTGGGTGTGGTTGTCCACCAGCGACTGGTGGTGGGGGTCTATTCATTGGTGGGTGTGGTTGTCCACCAGCAACTGGTGGTGGAGGTCTGTTCATTGGTGGTTGTGGTGGTACCCCATTTGGTGTTGATGGTGGTCTATTCATTGGTGGTTGTGGTGGACCTGGTCTTACTGGTGAATTGCCATTTGGTACTGGGAGGTGGTCTATTTTGGATTTGTGATACAGGTCTTGCTTGTGGTGGTTGTGGTGGTTGAGCTGAGTGTGGTGGTGGTGCTGCTCCTGCTGGTTTTGCTTGAAGTTTAATAACTGTTGTTGGTTTACCATTTCCTTTCATACCCCCTTTAAAATTTGGTACTGCTGGGAATTCATTTAGTGATCTAAAGTTCCATCTGTCGGAACCATCATATTCTAAGTTTTTTTTTTTTTTTTTTTA